TTGGGTTGGTCTCACAGCTGTCCTGGTGGCTGGGGGGATGGATTAAATTAGTATTGATAAGAAGTGTGGTTTGTGTCTTCTATTCCTATCTGCATGTGTCACTGTGTGATTACCATGCTATCTGTCTGAGTATACAGTAGTGTAGTAGTCAGCTTCATCCTCCACCTGGGCCCCACTGATAGTCAAGGTGGCCACTGTCCCTGAGCTGGAGCCAGAGAATCTCTCAGGGATCCCAGAGGGCCGTTTGCTGTCCTCATAGATGATCAGCACAGGGGACTGGCCTGGCTTCTGCTGGTACCAATCAGCATATTTTTTTGGCAATGCATCTCCAGAGCAGGTGATCCTGGCCGTCTGTCCTGGGGACACTGACACCGAGGGTGGCTGTGTCAGCTCATAGGAGGCTGCAGAGCCTGCAAGGAAAACAGGAGAGGGGGCTTGAAGATGAAGAGCCCATTCCCAGGGGTCCCACCCTGAGGCTGTGTCTGGGCTTAGCACAGGGTTCAAGGCAGGGCCAACTTGGGGTCTATGGGGACTGAGCCTGGGTCAGGGCCTAGGAGCAGCACCTGTGCAGAAAGTGAGGAGGGGGAGTAGGAGAGGAATCCAGGCCATGGTGAGACACCCAGAGCTCTGCCTCCTGAGCCCACAGCACAGCTGGGCTCCCTAGGCTTCTCTTATTCCTTCCCACGCCCTATGGGGCAGTAAGTGCTTGTTGTTCATGCAAATTTCTATCTTCTGGGACTCCTCATTGAAAGATGTCACTCAAACTAGCTGTGGGGGCAGCACAGGTGACTGAAGAAGAAGAAGTTGGGTCTTTGGTCAGAAAATTATCCTCGACCTCTGAGGCCTGTGATCACAGTCACCTTCCTGGGGACTGGCCATATGACCACTGTCCCAAACCTCTCTGACCTATGGTCTGTCCTGGGCCACGCTCAGCAGGGCTGCGGGCCTTCTAGGAACCTGGCATGGGGCTGAGTTGGGCAGTGCTGAGAGATCATTGATGACGCCTGACTCAGCAACAGGTGGACCAGAGAACCACCATATTCCTCCTCCTTCATCTCCTCTCTGGGTCCCCCAGAATTGCTTAGTCCCATCCTGGTCATTTCATCTAAATAATGTACTCTGTCATGAGGATACTTGTTAATTATTTCAGTAGGAGCAGATGGGTCATTTAAGCAACCACACACCCTTGTGGCATCATCGGGACATCTGCTCTCATTTCAGCCATGGTGCTGCTCCTTCTAGGCCATTCCCCATCCTCACATAGACCAGCCATTGCCATTCTCAGCTCTTCCATTATTTATTTATTTATTTATTTCTATGATTATTTTATGTAAACTTGTAAAAGGCACCAGAAAATCATCGGGGTTCTCAGTCCAGTGTGGTTTTCTGGTGCTTTTTACAAGTTTACATGAAATATTGACGGGAAATTCAGCTTTAGGCCCAGTGGTCTCTGCAGACATCCCAGGGACATGGCCTTTGCACAGAGTGTGAGTTCTGGATGATGGGTGGTGCCTGGTCTCTGCAATGCGGCAGACTCTGTCACTGTGCCAAGGACAGCCTCGTGGTCAGAGCTGTGGCCTGAGGCAGGTGAGAATCCCCTTCCCTCCGGAAAGCATCTCCTCCAGGAGGCTGGGGATGCCGCATCCAGAAACCAGGGGCCTGAGTGTGCCACCCCACCCACCTGAGACTCCGCTGAGCGCAGGGGCTGCCCCATGAGTCAGAGTCAGCCTGGACCTGGAAGGAGAGGCAGAGGGAGGAGGGATCGGGTGTCCCCGAAAGTGCTCAGGATAGAGGGTTCACCTCCCCAGGACACTGCTGGAGAGGGAGGGGCAAGGCCCTGAGAGTGGCAGGAAGCTCAGGTGGCCATCCTGGGTGAAGGACTCGAGCCCTAGGAGCCCCATTCTCTCACGCTGGGCCCCCTCCTAGAGCACCTCGACCTTGGAGCATCTTCCAGGGAATCCCAGCACTGTGGGAGCTGCCCAGGCTGGCACCTGGGCCCAGGCACCTCCAGCTGCATTTCCCAGGTGAGGCTCTCATTGTGCCCTGGCTTCTGTCAGTGTCCTGGGTGATGCTGTGTGAGTCTGACCCTCAGAACATAGTCACTGTAGCCAGAAGCAATAGGATGGACTGTCTTGACTTCCAGTCCTGGGACTGAACCTTGGACGCTTGTAGACCTCCCAGGGCTGCCTACCCCTAAGCTCCACTGGGGCAGCCCCAGTCTCTGTCCCGGCTACTCTTGGCTGCAGCTCTGCTGTCCCCTGCTGGTGGATGAGACCGAGCCTAGGAGAACTTTTCTCCTCCCGGTGACCCCACAGTACCTGCCACCTGGGAGGGTGGGGACAAAGGAGTCTAGCCTCACTTTGAGCCAGTGTGATCCACTGTGGTTTTCTCAGGTCAGCACAGAAAGGTCGTGTATATGGTTTCAGGAAGGTGGGGAGGTGCAATTCCCATAATGGAGTCTTGTGCTGAAATGTTCTTTGGTCCATGGTTTTTGATTGCAGACTGAAGACTGCAGGGTAAGCTGTAGCTCTTCTGTGATAAAGATGAAAGTCCAGAGAAATGCAGTGACCCCTCATGGGGACCCTCAATTCCTAAATATATGGGAACTAAGACTGATGCCCCCTTTCTATAAGAAAAGCTGCGTTGAATTTGAGAACACCTGATTTTTCTATCACTAAACCTTAGTTGTGTACTTAAGTCATTGTCATCATCATCGCCATCTTTTTCTATGACTATTATTATTTTTTTCATCATACACTGTTCACAATTTGTGGTGGGAGGATTTCCACACTATCCTTGTCTGTCGTTTTGAGAAAATTGTGAGTATCTTGCTAATATATCTGGGAACATGCATTCCCACACTAGAAAATGCCCCCAGAGATGGACAGGACTCCACCAACCACCAACCTGTGTCCACTCTCTGAGAGTCACTTATTCTACCTTTGACTAACAGATTCTTTCTGTGTCTTTTTGGATTTTTTTTTTTAGAAAAGTTTCTAAAAATGACTTTTCAAAAAAAATACAGTCAATGGGTATGTTCCTTGTTTTTCTTTCCCTTTCTCTGTCTCTGTTTTTGATTTTTTAAAAAAATGATTCCTTTCTATCTTCATGCTGGCTTAAGTGATGGTTAATTTTAAGTGGCACATTGACTAGGATGTGGTTCCAGGTTGATTTTGTCCAATACAAATATAGAAGTTTATGTGAAGATATTCTCCAGATGTGACTCACATTGAACTCAGTAGACTTTGTATAAGCAGATTACTCATCACAATGTGGTGGGCCTCATTCATGAGTAGAAAGTGTATACAGCAGGCCAGGCCTGGTGGCTCACACCTGTAATCCCAGCACTGTGGGAGGCCAAGGAGGCAGGAGGATCACTTGAGGCCAGGAGTTCAAGACCAGCCTGGTCATCATGGAGAAACTTGGTCTCTAATAAAAATACAAAAATTAGATGGGTGTGATGGCGCACACCTGTAATCCCAGCTACCTGGGAGGATGAGGAACAAGAATCGCCTGAAGCTGGGAGGCAGCGATTGCAGTGAGCTGAAATCTCATTGCTGTGACCCAGCCTGGGTGACAGAGTGAGACTCTGTCTCAAAAAAAAAAAAAAAAGAAAAAGAAAAAAAGGAAAGTGTTTAGAGCAAACACTGAGGATTTCTTAAATCCTGTCTTGGCTGGGCGCGGTGGCTCAAGCCTGTAATCCCAGCACTTTGGGAGGCTGAGACGGGCGGATCACGAGGTCAGGAGATCGAGACCATCCTGGCGAACACGGTGAAACCCCGTCTCTACTAAAAAATACAAAAAAAACTAGCCGGGCGAGGTGGCGGGCGCCTGTAGTCTCAGCTACTCGGGAGGCTGAGGCAGGAGAATGGCGTAAACCCGGGAGGCGGAGCTTGCAGTGAGCTGAGATCCGGCCACTGCACTCCAGCCTGGGCGACAGAGCCAGACTCCATCTCAAAAAAAAAAAAAAAAAAAAAAAAAAAAATCCTGTCTTGCTGAATTCAGGTTCAGGACTGCAACATCAACTCTTACCTGAATTTCCAGCCTTCAGCCTACCCAAGAGATTTTTATCCTTGTCAGACATGACAATCCTATGAACCAATTTCTTCTAAGTTTCTTTCTCTCTGTCTCGATATATACGCATACATGCATACCTCACAGCCTCAAACTCCTGTGCTCAAGCAATACTCCTGCCTCAGTCTCCCAAAGTGCTGAAACAGAATGATGAGTTATCAAAATGGCCTCAGTCATGGCCTGCATCTGCCTCTGCCTAGGGGTGTCTTGAGGGAGGACATGGGGGATGATGAGAGTTGCAAGGGGGAGAGTCAACATTCTCAGGGCCAGTGAGAGGACATAGGGCTTCTCACTCTGAGTCCTTGAGGAGGAAGGGGAGGGGTATGTTTTGGCCTCACTTTGTCTGTGTCACTGGCTCACCCATCCTCACCATCAAACATGTGGCTGTCTCCACAGTGATATTCGGCCTCATCCTCAGATTGGAGGTTGAAGATAATTAAGTAGCATTCAGCCCCAGAGCTGGAGCCCAATAAGTGATTGGGGATCCTGTTCCCCTTGCTGTGGCTGCCATCACTCTTAACCTTCGTTATACACTGGGAGGAGGGGGACCTCCCTGGTCTCTGTTGATACCGTTCAGTGGTGTAGGTGCTGTGCTCACTGCTGAGGGTGCAGGTGAGCTTGGCCGAGGCTGACAGCAAGGCAGATGCAGACGGGGGCTGGGTCAGCACAGACAGAGCACAGAGACCTGGAAACATAGAAGTTCATGAATGATGCTGAATGCACAGGAGAACTGGAAAGAATGCCCCTGAGGACCCGTACTAGGGGGAAATAACAGTGAAAGGGTTTCCCTGAGTTCGCTGGATGCTCCGACCTGTGGGGAAAATGAAGGGCAGGAGGTAGAAGGAGACACAGGCCATGATGGGAGGCACTTCTGAGAGCTCTGACCGTGGCTGCCCAGTGTAGCCTGGACACAACCAGCTCCTATCTTATCCTCTTCTTGAAGCTCAAGAAGGGAGGAACATTGAATCCAAATCTATTCTCTATTCCCCAGCATGTCTGTCTGAGCTCATAGCTGAGCTCTGGGGCTGATGGCCTCAGGGTAGTCATTTCTCGAGGTCACAAGAAGGGCCGGGTTGGTGTCAGGAGTGGAGAGTGGATTGTACTCAAAAGACTGGACCTGAAAGGAAACATCAGTCACACCTTTTGCATGTGAGCTCTACTGGGGGACTTGGAGTTATTAGGGTCCCCAAAACATACACCCACAGTGCCTCCTGCTGTCCACAGGAGGAATGCCATCCACCATGTATCACTAGATTATGCAAAACACTACTTATGAGACCTTAATATATTCAGAGTCTTTGGTGAATGTTTTATAGGCACAACCTTGATCAGATATTTATAATAACCCTTCCTCAGCCCTACGCTTACGGCATAACCTCTCCTCAAGTTTACTGATGTCAGAACCAACATTGAAAGGTTACACAATGACAGAAGTGAGTGGAGTCAAGATTCCATGCAGAGCCTAAACTTCAGCTTCTTCCTGCCCTGCTTCCTTTCTTCCCATGAGTCTCCTCCTCCCACCTCATCCCAAACTCATGGGAAGAATCTTGACTCCACTTCACATGTCAATTATGTTTATTCAATTAAAAGACTTCAGTATCTAGTGTTACAGCTGTCCTAATTCAACAGCCTTGACCTTCTTAGAAATAAAATCCTGATCCCAAATTTTTCTGGGGATATGACTGGCACAAGGAGCCAAGCAGACATCTGGATGTCCCAATGTCACTGCTGACACATGCGCCTTTGTTATCTGTCATGGAGGGAACAGAGGAAGTGTCCCTACCTCTGTCTACAGAATCCATGGAAGACAATGCACCTGATTAAAAAAGAGAGGGTTGTGATCTTTTAGTTTAATAAACATAATTGATAAGAAAGTGTTCCTTAATTAATATTCTAAGTATATGTATTAGTTTTCAGACCTAGGATGGGTGAGGCTGTGATGAAACTAATTCACTCACAACATGATGGTGCAGTATAAATAGAAAAGACATGTGAAGCCCTGTGATGATCTCAGAGACAGACGGAAGTCTCTGTGTGCTGACTCCTTGGAGTTGGTCTAAAGAGATAACTGAGATAAGATGAGGCCACAGGTCACCAATACGCCTGCTCCTGTACTTGGAGGAGCACATCACTCGCAGTTCCTCCATACACTTACCAACGTATGAACCCACTTCTCCTGTCACTGGGCATCTCAGGGTCTCCTCCT